TTTCGGGTGCATCTGCTTCGGTTACTCGTGCTAGTGTGGCAGGAAAACCCTCCCTGAGAGCTCGCGGCCACCCAGGAAAAGGCAGAGTGAAGCGGGCTGAAGTGGCCAACCCGGCTTTCTGCTCTGCTAGCGATACCTGTTGTGGGACTTTCAAAACGCGCCTTGATATTGTCTTATTTTCAGCATGTCAGCTCCTTCTCTCTTAAAAGTAAAACGTTCTTTGACTTTTGAGTGCTTATAAAGTATGTTTTGATGCATGTGCAGCTTCAAAGAACTTGTGTTTGTGTTTCCACAGGAAGAAGCAACATGCAAAGTGGACAGAAAAAACAAATATCGCCTTTAACAAAAAAGTGCTGGCTTTCTGCTGCTGTTCCGTGTTTCTGCTTTGCATCATAATGGGAGGTGCAGCACTATCTACATCATGGAGGCAAAATTTGGGCATTTATTGTAAAATAAGATGAGCAAAGACTTGAAAATATGTCAATAACTCTACTAATTCAGACATGCCTTTCACAAGCAGAGGGGAATGTTGGTTAAAACACTGCAATTTCATCAGAAGAAGCTAATGGAGGATTTCTGTTGATTTTTTTTCTTCTAACCTCCCATGAGAAAGAAAAAGTGCAGGAAAGAATGTGAGAGATAAAGGAAAAGCTGAAGAGATTACACTTTTGAATCTGTTTTCCAAGTGCTGTTAATTCCTTCATTCAACAGTTGCAAAGCTTTGTTTTGAGTAAATTCTATAATTTTTGTGATCGATGGAGTTTTTTTTTTTGTCAGTCCAAGAAGTGAAAGTTGACCTGAGTGAAGAATTTAAAAAGTAAATTTGTGACTCTCAATTCCTATTTTCATTTTTTTCCCAGAGTTTTCCACATAGGAATACCCTGTTTCAGTTTCTTATAGTGTATTGTCAACGCTGCTTTATGTGAAATATTTGAAGTTTTTACTTTCCTTCTAGTTCTAGTATTTATAGTTTAATGTTGCTTTTGAGAAAAGTGTGAACAGACAAGGCACTTGTGATTTAACTTTTCAACAGGCACACTATTTTCAGTGTCATACCTCAGACTGCCAGTCAGCTGAGTGTGTCTGTTAGAATTTACAGAACAAAATCTTTTAAGAAAAATCCTTAAGTTCTTTTTTTTAACTAACTGGATCAAGCTTTGATGACTGATTTTTGTGTGTTGTTGGGAAATGCGTGCCCGGGGAACAGGAACTGCCTAATGGATCATGGCTCTGATGTTTACAGGACATACCTTACTTCTAGCATTGATGACCTTTGCTGTCTTGACTCTTGAAGAATCAGTAAACAATTACTCTGACTGGGTGACTTTCATTGAAAATGTAGATCGGTATGAGAAAGAGAAACTGCGAGATCTTAGTGCTGAGCAGAAGCTGAAAAAAACTGTTCTTCATCCAAGCTTGTATTTCGATGCTGAAGACGTCCAGGCATTGAGGCAGAAGGCTCATACAAGCCATTTGCATCTGTTTAGGGCTATCAGAAGTGCAGTGACAGTTATGCTATCCAACCCATTATACTACCTACCTCCACCCAAGCATGTTGATTTTGCTGCAAAGTGGAATGAGATTTATGGTAACAATCTGCCACCTCTAGCATTTTATTGTTTGCTGTGCCCCGAAGATAAAGCTGCTCTTGATTTTGTCCTAGAATATATGGATAGAATGGCTGGTTACAAAAACTGGTTGGTTGAGAGTGCGCCTGGAGATGAAGTGCCACTTGGTCACTCCCTAACAGGATTTGCCACTGCTTTTGACTTCTTGTATAATTCACTGGAAAATGTGAGGAGACAAAAATACCTGGAGAAGATACGGTCCGTGAGCGAGGAGATGTATGAGTACTCAAAGGTTCGTGCGTGGGGAAAGCAACTTCTCCATAATCACCAAGCAACTAATATGGTCGCTTTGCTTACTGGAGCCTTAGTTACAGGTGTGGAGAAGGAACCGCAGGCAAATATTTGGAAACATACTGTTGTTGATGTGATGGAGAAAACGATGTTTCTGCTCAATCATATTGTGGATGGATCTCTGGATGAGGGAGTAGCTTATGGGAGTTACACGGCCAAATCAGTGACCCAGTATGTTTTCCTGGCCCAGCGCCACTTTGGTATTAACAACTTGGAGAATAATTGGCTCAGAATGCACTTTTGGTTTTACTATGCCACCCTACTGCCAGGCTTTCAGAGGACTGTGGGCATAGCGGATTCTAATTACAACTGGTTTTACGGTCCCGAGAGCCAGCTGGTTTTCTTGGATAAGTTTATCATGAAGAACGGAGCTGGCAACTGGCTGGCCCAGCAGATCAGAAAGCACAGACCCAAGGATGGGCCGATGGTGCCGTCCACCGCGCAGCGGTGGAGCACACTGCACACGGAGTTTATATGGTACGCTGCAGAGCTCCCTCCCCAGCCGCCTCCTGGCTACAGCACCGCCAAGATGCATGTGTTTCCAAACTGGGGAGTTGTTACATATGGGGCCGGGTTGCCAAGCAGCCAGGCAAACACCTTTGTGTCTTTTAAGTCTGGAAAACTCGGCGGACGTGCTGTCTATGATATTGTTCACTTTCAGCCGTACGCCTGGATTGATGGGTGGAGAAGTTTCAATCCAGGACATGAACATCCAGATCAGAACTCATTTACTTTTGCTCCGAATGGGCAGGTGTTTGTATCTGAGGCTCTTTATGGACCTAAATTCAGCCACTTGAACAATGTGTTGGTATTTGCCCCGTCTCCTACGAGCCAGTGCAACCAGCCTTGGGAAGGGCAGCTTGGTGAGTGTGCCCAGTGGCTGAAGTGGATGGGTGATGAGGTTGGTGACTCAACGGGAGAAATTATAACAGCCTCCCAGGCTGAGGACATGATGTTTGTGAGTGGTGAGGCAGTATTTGCTTACACATCAGCAATGAAACTGAAAAGTGTGTATCGCACTTTGCTGCTCTTAAATTCTCAGACATTGCTAGTTGTGGACCATATCGAGAAGGAGGAAGACTCTTCTGTTAATGCAGTCAGTGCCTTTTTTCATAATCTTGACATTGACTTTAAATACGTACCCTATAAATTTAAGAACAAGTACAATGGGGCTATGATGGATGTGTGGGATGCCCACTATAAGATGTTTTGGTTTGATCATCATGGAAGTAGTCCTGTCGCTAGGATACAAGAGGCAGAGCAGGCTGCTGAATTCAAAAAGCGATGGACTCAGTTTGTAAATGTTACTTTTCCCATGAAAACCACACTTACAAGAATTGTTTACCTTTTCTATGGCCCATATGTCAATGTCTCTAACTGCAGATTCACTGACAGTGCAAAATCTGGATTTCAGATTTCACTCAATGTCAACAACACTGAAAATACTGTCTCTGTTGTGACTGACTATCAGGATTTAAAGACAAGATTCAGTTACTTGGGATTTGGTGGTTTTGCCAAAGTAGTTCGTGAAAACAAAGTGACCAAGTTTGGTTTAGGTACTGAATCTATGGAAAAACAGATACAACATAATAGGATGGTTTTCCCATTTGGATTCAAAGTGAACATAATTGCAGGGGTAATTTTGGGTGTTAGCTTGGTCATACTGGCTTTTCAGTGGCGATTTTACATCTCCTTCAGTAAAATGTTACGTTGGATCTTAATATTGGTTATTGCTTTGTGGCTTATTGAGCTGGTGGATGTGTGGAGCACTTGCACGCAACCCATCTGTGCAAAGTGGAGCAGTGACATGACAAGGCTAGAACATGATAAAGGCAATAAAGTCAAACAATTAGAAGGAAATGCCATTGTTTTGCCAGATGTTATCATTACTTCACTTCCTGGTTCTGGTGCAGAAATTTTAAAACAGCTGTTTTTCAATAGCAGTGACTTCTTATACATCAGGATACCTACACCCTATCTAGAAGTTCCTGAGACTGAATTTGAAATTAATTCCTTTGTAGATCCATGTGAATGGAAGGCTTCCGATGTCCAGAATGGACATTTTCGACTTCTCCATGGGTGGTTCCAGTCTCTAGTTCGAGACACAAAGTTACATTTACAAAACATTAATTTATACGAAGCCAGCAGAAGTAAAATTGCTCAGCATTCTACCATAAACAGGGACAAAAAGAAAAGGTCTAAAAGGAGGGAATCTCTGGCAGAGCAAAGAAGCAGGGCAAGGACAAGTCAAGATAAAGATGCTGAATATATTAGAGAACTGAGGAGGCACCTTGTCTATTATCCCAGTGCACGGCCTGTTCTCAGTTTAAGTAGTGGGAGCTGGACATTAAAGCTTCCCTTCTTTCAGGAGATACTAGGACCTTCAATGAGAGCTTTATATGTAGTAAGGGACCCACGGGCATGGATTTATTCAATGTTGTACAAGAATAAGCCAAGCCTTTACTCCTTGAAAAATGTTCCACAACACTTAGATGCAGTGTTTAAATGGCAAAATGGTAAAGGAAAATGTAGTTTAAATGAAGGCTATGCTTTTGAATATGAATCGCTAAGAGAAGAACTTTCAAATTCTGATTCAAATGCTGTTTCTGTGTTGTCCTATTTATGGCTTGCAAACACAGCAGCAGCCCTGAGAATAAATGGGAATCTCCTGCCAACAAACTATCAGTTGCTCAAGTTTGAAGATATTGTGAACTTTCCTCAGAAGACGGCTGAAGCAATTTTTGCCTTTCTCGGTGTTCCTCTTTCTCCTGCTAGCTTAAACCAAATATTATTTGCCACCTCCACCAGTCTTTTCTATCTTCCTTATGAAGGGGAAATTTCACCAAGGAGCATTCATGCCTGGAAACAAAACATGCCCAGTAAAGAGATTAGACTGATTGAAGAAATCTGTTGTTCTCTAATGGACCACTTAGGATACCCAAAGTTTATACGTTAAATGCTGCTGGTCAGCTGGAATTTGCACTAAAGATCTCTGACTCCCAATTTGTGGATAAATATTAGAGAAGCTTGTTTATTCTTGTAAAATGTGTACAGTCTGCTACTTCCAGAGAAATTATTTTATGAAAAAGTTGGATGTTCTTGCATTCTTGCTTTTTTTTTTTTTTCTTGAAAGAAAGAAAGAAAAAAAACTTGTGTCTACTTTTCCTGCCTTTCAAATAAAGCTATGTGAACCTTTACGGAACTACCAGCTGGGGAGTATATAGCTCAGGGGATTAGTAATAGGATACAGAGCTTTTTACCTTCAGCTTACCGGTTTCATTCTAACCCAGGTGGTTAGTTCCCAAAAGTACTTGTCAACAGATGATTGTATGGTGGCATATATGAAACTAAACTAGTGCTATTGCCTGAGTTTCCAAGTGGTGGTAATTACACTCTTTGGGCAGGTTTGATGATACATTCGGTTGCTCTCTCACTACAGCAATGAAACGAAGCATAAGCCCACTTTTGAAGCTGGGCCGCCGCTTCAGTTCTCATTTCAGTGCAAGAAAACAGGCAGCATTTGAGTGAATCTAGTTCCTTACTGACAGCCTCATCAGGACTGGAGTGGACACGGATGTCAAGTATTATTATGTGATATGGTTCCTTCAGCTCGGGTCTGCCATTTCTATTTGATTTTGTGCTTTGACTAAAGAGAAGATTTCGTTCTCTAGGCCTGACAAAGTGGTCACTTTTATGACCTGAAGTAAGCTGTCTGGAGAAAAATGGAATGGGACATAATCCAAGAAACCACAACAGCTTCCAAACTAGCAATTGAATATGGAGAAGATTTTGTGTAATTTTGACCTGCATCTTCATGTCATCCTTATTTAATTTTAAATGTTGTTTACATATCCGCTTCCAGTGCAGCTTTATTCTGTACCTCCTAAGAGGTTCTACAAGGATTTTATCTTTTTTCCTGTGAGACTCTTCCATCTTCCTTTGTGGTAACACTTTTTTTTTTTGTGCTGATTCTTCTGCAGAACTTCACCAAGGCCAGTGCAAATATTTAATGTCATTGTCAGTGGTGTATTGCTGATGTCTGCATAAAATGACAATCTAAGATGTAAAAGACCTTAAAGAAATCTCCAGGTCTGTGTTGCTGAGGGATGTTTTGCTTCTCTGTACAGTGATTTCTGTTGGGCAACAATTGCTAACCTCAGGTCTTCTCTCAGAGAGGTGGGAAATCTGAAATTCCTCCTTCACCCCCTCCTTCACCCGCTGCCTCATATTTAAATGATGTTTCCTTGCCGTAAATTATTTCCAAAGTCTGCTGATTTTAGTATGATTGGTATTTCTTTAACTTGGTGCTCTAATATAATTATGGTTTGGAAACCGACTTGGTAGGATAGGTATGTGTGCTAGTCACAGCTCATTTTCTTTTTGAATCACACTCTTTGTGCCTGCGCATTAAGAAAAGTTTCCTACTTCAACTTGCTCAGCATTCTTTGGAAATACATGCATACTGTAAATGTCTGCAGATGTGTAAATCAAATCACAAAGAGACATCTGTTTCCTTTGACCATCTGCTTTTTATTACAAATGAAATTGTACTGAAAATGATTCAGTTGGTTTGTGGGAGCTGGGATCACAGTTCTGGTTTGTTATGTTGAAATGTGCGTGTAGAGTAATTGCTGTTTATTTGGATGATGGACAATGTCAAAAATGTAGTGAGTTTCTTACAACCTTTGCAGCATGTTGTGATCTCTCATTATGACTTGGATGAAAGCAGCTCTTTCTCAGTCATTCATTATTATGTCAAAATTGGCCTCTAGCATGATAAAACTATTGATATATTGAAGTCTCACTAATCCTAACTTGGCTGTCATTTTACTTTGACTGTAATAGGGACTGGCAGCATTTTTTATACCTGTCTTCATTCCTACGTATGACCTCTGGTAGGTGGAATATCATATCAAAGGAAATACTAAAGCCTGTTAACATTTACTGACATGTTAGTGAAACTTTGGTTTCTTTCAAGTTGGCTTCTCTGTGAAGCCATTTTTGGTTGTATGTAAAAGTTACTGTATTTATGTCTATACAGTTTTATGTACTTGTTGGAATAAGTCTCAGCATTTGCTGAGATTCCAGGATTAATGCTGCATGATTAGAACAAATAAAAAGCTTTCACCCTTCAGATGTTTTAGAGCAGCTTTAGGTAGGAATTAAAGATGACTGTATAAGCAGGAAGAGAACCTTAAATCCCATCTTGACTATGCTATATGAAATGTAACAGAAGATAAACGATGTTTTGGTTGTTTCTGAGATGTCAGGGTGGACAAGATCATCTGTCAGTAGGGGCATCTTCGTGGCTTTTACAGTACAGGTTGTACCATGCATGTATGTCCACAACACAAGTCCTTGCTGTCATTTGTTAAATGCAAGATTTAGGAACCATTTCCTTTCAGTTCTGTACTTTGCAGGGTCAAAGGATTCATAATCTTTTGTTCAGATTCCTTTGTATCATGTGTTCCTTGTACATGATGCAAAAAGCTCGCAGAGAACTCTGCTCTTTATATTTGAATTGTATGAGGATGAATGATGCTAAGTATACATAGAAGGAGAAGAAATATCTTTGAAAACAACAGGGTAAAACTACCTAAGGTCTGACAAGTTCCTAAGTCTTTAATCAAATAGCTATTTGTTACGTTTTATATGATATGATACATGACCCTTGACCAAAGTTAGTACTAGACAGGGTGCACCCTGGCTGTAGAGTTGATTGACTTTGTATTGAAATTGTGATCTTGTACCTGAATTAATAGCAACCCAAGACATGGACAGCCTGGAAAGCTGAAAAAAACATGTATATGATTGAAGAGACTGCCCACTAACAGATCTAGATCTCTAGGACTTTGTAGAATAAATTTTAGCTGCAAGATATTTCATTTGTGAATAACATTGAGAGTTGTGAAACTGAGAAGTAGGAATGGCCTGGTAGTAATAATAATAATTATAAAAACCTCACCTTTCTTTATTAAAAGATAAATTCCTATTTTATCAGAGGAAGAAGAGTCACTAAGAAGGCAAATACATTAACCTCCTTTTCCCTGTAAAGATGCTTCAGACTTTCAGTAGAACTTGAGAATTAAATTAGATTTTTGTGAAAAGCATGTCTGTTTATATATACTGGATTGAAGAGTCTTCTAGCACTCTCAGGACATGTGGTCATGAAATATTTTGTCTTAAACTTGCTTTCAATTTCTCCCTGTTTAAAAAATAGATTTTTTAATTCTGTATTATAATCTGAACAGCCACGTTGCAAGACATATTTTAAAAATTAGGGCTCTGCTTAAGTATTTTTCTCAGTAGCATATGTGGAAGCCCAAGAAAAATTAACAGCAGGAAAACATTTCTGTTGTTTATTTACTCTTTAACTAAGTAATACTGACCTTGGGGAGAGGCACATGGGTCTTGGCATTCAAAGTTCTGTATAATGATGTGAGTCTGCAGACTTTGAACATACCCAACTGCCTCTGTGGTTCCCAGCGTGGAGGCTCATCTGGGGAGATGAGCCTCTGTATCACTGTCAGATTGGTCCCTATCTTGCTATTAGCATGCAATGCCTCAATCTTTTCCTAGGTTAACACCTGGACAGTTAATTTGCAGGATCCAGAGTTGAATTTATAGATCTGATCTTCAGTTATATCTAACTTACAAAGCACTTGGCACTCTTAATACTGTTCTCGTAGTGCTAGAGTGCAGGGTAAACAAGCCAAAAAATCAGTTCATATGTTATAACAAGTTATACTGAGTATTAACTGGTTTTCAAAGTTGCCGTCTTGGATCAAATTCTTTTTGTTAATTATGAAAATGGTTCTACTTCTTTTGAAGCTTCAAGATCTATGAAACCAGGAGAGCCCTGATCACCTCATCATTGGTTATTTCTGTTACTAATCTTGGGGTTACTGTTTCTTCGATCAACGTGTTCAGACTTAATCCAGGATATAATAGTATATTTGCTTAAAATGTTTGCAGTGCACAATTTAATAGCAAGGATAAAAATAGAATACATTTGTATATCTAAGTTCAATAAAAAAAATCAGCCCTCTTATGAGCATCCATATGATGGGCTCCATATATTAGAATATTATATTGTGATATTTATTTGAAGAAATTTAAAAATAATTTATCAAATTGCTTTATATTTAATTACATGTACAGCTGTTCTATCCAAAACTGTTCAATAATCAGGCCATCATAAGCATTCCGTCCTTTCTCTGAACTTCCTTTTAGTTTTGGTGTGGACTAAAATACTCCAAGATTTATCATGAATGAGCTGTTTTTCTGAGTTAGGAGTCTGTCTGGAGACTCTCATAGTCTCAAATTCCGTTTCATTTAATTTGTGTGTGGAGTATCATGCACTGCATTCAGAACTGAGCTACAAGTAAAATGCTGTCATGCTGACCTTAATGAATGTTGTACCACTGACTTCTACAGGGACAAAATGCCATCCCATATGTTTCTTTCAGGAAGGAACTATGCAAAGTTTGTGGACTAAATAAATGTCTCTAAAACATTCTTTATTAATCATTCTGAGACAAGGTTTTAAAAATGTGGAAGTAATTTATCTGGGGCTTTTTCTCCTTCTTCTGTAAATAAATATTACCTTCTGCAGAATTATCATCTACCTATCCTGAATATTTCTGAAGAGTAGAAATTACAGGAAGTGAATACTTCCAATAATCATGCAAGATTACTGCTCTTGCTATCTGATGAATTATGGGACAAGGAAATGCATTTCAATGTGTGAAAAGTAGAAATTATTCTGTAACCCCTATCAAAGCTACCTGTAGAGTGATACATTTTTAAATTCATGAAATGAGGTGTAGAAACAAAGAAATGCTTTAAATAATGTAGAAAGAACAGTTTCAAATGTCAGGACTTTTATTTTCATTAGTTACTAGAAATGTGCTGATACATTATCTGCAGTACTCTCATAAAAGATGTGAATGGGTAATCTTGTGCTGTCTCAGAAAATATTTAATGATGGGAAAGTGCTATTTCACATTATTGAGATGGTACTGTTCTAAATTAAGCTATACATCTTTGAAGCCAACAGTATGCTGAGATTTATAGGTGATGTAAGGAAACAGAGACAGTCGGATTTCATTCACA